AACCATGACCTCCTGGTTCATAGGTCGATGCTCAACCATTGAGCCACACCAGCTGGGCAAGCTTCTATTTCTTAACTGAGACACTAGTAGGCAGATGCCCAAACATGACCTCGGTAGTAATATCCCAGTTCCCATGGATAGGATGACCATATGGTCAAGTGTTCATTCACAGGTTTTGTCTGGGCATATGGCAGCTATTTATTTCTACTTTTAGTAGTTTCTTTAAGGGAATTATATATATACTAGAGGCCCGTTGCACGAAGAGATTCGTGCAATAGGCCTTCCCTTCCCCTGGCTGCCAGCACCGGTTTTCCTCCAGCACCCGGGACCCAGGCCTTGGCTCCGGCCCAGAGCCTTCTGTCTTCGCTGCTCCAGCCTGGAGCCTTCCGTCTTCACTCCATCGCTTTGCACCTACGTATGCAAAATAACTGCCATCTTTGTTGGGTTAATTTGCATACTCTCCTGATTGGCTGGTGAGCGTAGCAGAGGGACGGTCAATTTACATGTTTGTCTATTATTAGGTAAGCTGCATAGTATGCTAATTAGACCAGATGTCCTTCCGGACGACCCTCAAGATGAAGCCAGGGCTGTGAGGGAAGCCGGGGTCCCAGGTGCCAGAGGGAAGCCGGTGCCGGCAACTGGGGGAAGGAAGGCCTACTCTTGCACGAATTTCGTGCATCAGGCCTCCCATACACTCTGACCATATAAATAAATTGCTGTATTCAATTTCCAATTATTCATAATCTTCAGACTACTCAACCCTTTTAAATCAGCAGTGAAATCATTACATACTTTTGTGAATAACTGGAGGAGATCCTGAGAGCGGGTAATTTCTTCACCAACTGCATTTCCTCACAGCACTATACCAAGGGCTAAATATTTTTAGTGAAGTATTGCTTCAATTATGCTAATTTAATGAGTCATCTGATGTAAACTTGCCATGATAACTGATGACTATCATGTTGGAAATAACCATTAATTCAAAAGGTGAGTTTTCATTCTAATTTTGCAGGTCGTTTGGCTAGTTGACATTGGCAAGTCATTTCATCTTTATGGTTTTTAGCCTATTATATATAAAATGGTGAAATTAATCTCCACTTTTATGGTTTATATTATAAGCTGAAGGCAAGTATATATGATAGAAACAGTATAAACATCAGGAAATTATCAAACTTTATTATGATTCAAAGCAATAAAATTTAAGGTTATTTTAAGCCTACATTTTAGGAATATAGAAGTCCTATCTTTTAGAAGTAAATCAAAGTAATCTGGTAAGATTTGATAGATTTTCCAAAATCTAGTTAACTGACTCTATTTCAAAATTGTTCCTACATTAATGAAATTATAGTGTCAATTTGGAAAAAATATTCCTGTTTGGGGGAATCTCTTCTAGATAGAAAAGAAAAAAATGCCATTATGGTGGCATCCACTCCATTCCCAATTATTCTTGGTTGATTATTCAAGGCAGTGCCTGTAGCTTGGTCCATGGTGTTTCAAGCTTTGCACTTAACTTAATAGAGACCATGGTGTGTAGGGGGCTTTTTCACTCAATGAAAATCCTACTGGGTCTGCTCATGTCTCACATTTTTACCACTGACACATTTTTGGCCTTCAATATCTTAATTACTACTTCTTTGTTTCTGGTTAAAGCTTATGTGAAGGCACAGCCAACCATGTTTTCACCTGGTAGGAATGAGACATTTCCAAGCACTTACAAAGACTGGAAATAACTACAGTCTACTACTCTCTGCTGCTATGGAAATGAGCCTGGGCTTAATGTGAGGTTTTTCTCACTGTCTAGATATGGTGAATGAGAACTTGAGTTACCCTTGGGGCTGGACTGAGTTGGGAAGGAGTAAATAGTCAGGTATATGCAGCTGATTACTCCTCAGGGATCTCCTACACCAGATAGAAAATCCATCCTTGACTACCTGCTGTCCTTGTGTGTCTCCACTCACATATTGTAATTCCAATTCCAGGCAGAAGGAATGTGATTGGCCTAGCTGGAATCACATGATCACTAGTGTGGTGAGAGGGCTGGAGGACTATGGAAGGAAGCCCCACAAGAATCACATGGGGTGTGTGTGGGGGTGGGTGCAGTTACTAGAACCAGGGCAGGGATGGCGGAGTACAAAAGTTTTGTCAAACCTCACATTCTCTCTACCCGTCCTCAGATTTTCTATTTAATAAAACCTGGGAGAAGAGACACTCCGTGCCACCCACCCATTCCATGGATTTCTGGACTCCAGTGGGGTATGAAGACCCACCTCCTTGGCCTCTGTGCTGTCCTTCCTCAGAGATAACCCTGAGTATCAGGTGGTTTTCTTCCAAATGTGTATCAACAATAGATACTTCTGGGACCAAAACTTTGCAAAAAACTACAAGATCACTTGTCATCGTACCTTATAGCTAATAGGGGTAAATTGAACTCTTTTTTCATACCTGACCTTTCTCATATTTGTCTACTTATTTCTGAGAGGCCATTAGTCTGTTTTTATGTCAGCCCATCTTGGATCCAGAATCTTACTTATGATCTACTGTCCAAAGAAAGAAAAGCTTTCCTCCTTATTTCCTTCCCGGATTCTCTCCTTAATTTTAGTAGGGAAAGCAAGAGGAAAAACTTGTGAATTCAAAAATACATAGATCATCCTTTACAGCAAACAGACTAAAAAAAGAGAGGAAAGTTAACATGTAGATAAATTTTGAGGGAGAACAACTGAAGTGCTGATACTGGATGGTACGCATTTTCAGATCAAAATAAGAAGTGTTTCTTTGGCTGGGATGGAGGTATGAAGAGCTGAGTGGAAAATATCTGCAAGAATTTCTATCTATTTTCAAGTAGGAGAGGTTATTAAACCATTGTCTAACAGTTAAAATGGCTTGAGCAACTGGAGTTAGAAGCATGTATTTCAATGGCCCTATTTATTTGCAGGCACCTGATGGTTAGTTAAATCTGGCATTTATGTTTGAAATAATTTCTGTTCACCTTGTTTATAATTGCAAAATTAATGCGTTCACTGTAAAAAGTTCAGAACATACAAACAAAAAGAAGAAAAAATAATACTAAGCAGTAACTATCATTGCCATTTTGTTATATATCAAGTTTTTTCTATGCATATGTGCAATTATGAAGATTTAAAATATCCATGTTTTTTCTTTCAATGTAACAGTTCAATGTCCACTGTCAGAAATTTATAAAATACCAAAACACATATAGAACAAAATAGACAACATTCATAATCAAACACTTAACGTGTAGCTGTACATAGATATACATTTTCTCAAACAAAAATAGGATCATACTGCTTTGTAAGACCACTCTGCTTTGTAACATACTTGTCTTATTTAAAGATATAATCTCACTTTAAAAAAATATTATCCATCCCTGTTCCAGTGTTAATTGTGGTCCAGGGGACATTTGTCAATATTTAGAGACAATTTTGATTGTCACAAGGAGGGGCATGTACAGAAAGAGGCCAGGGATGTTGCTAAACACCCTACAGAGCAAGGCTCCCTATCCTGTAACACAAAAGAATTACCCATGCAAATGTCAATGGTGCCAAGGTTGAGAGCCCTACCCTGTTCCCCAAAGTCTCCCCCTCCTTGCAGGTATAGGGGATTAGAGGAATATTTCAGTTACAGTGGCAAACAGTCAGGATCCCTATAATCCCAATCCATCTCACAAATACTGCCTTTTTCATCCAACCTAAGAACAAACTTGGCAGGGATACCAGTGGGTGGAGGCAACAAAGGCTCCAAATCTTCTGTTTACTTACACTGATAAGTATCTGAATTGCTGGGAGGACCAACAGGCCTGTACCCTCTGAGACAGTCTTGCACATGGATGCTGCGTTCACAAACATAGCTGGCTCTAAAAGCCCTTTCTTCATTTCCCCGTACGGACTCCACTTAGGATGCCATCCAGTCTTTACACTCCGTGCCACCCACCCATTCCATGGATTTCTGGACTCCAGTGGGGTATGAAGACCCACCTCCTTGGCCTCTGTGCTGTCCTTCCTCAGAGATAACCCTGAGTATCAGGTGGTTTTCTTCCAAATGTGTATCAACAATAGATACTTCTGGGACCAAAACTTTGCAAAAAACTACAAGATCACTTGTCATCGTACCTTATAGCTAATAGGGGTAAATTGAACTCTTTTTTCATACCTGACCTTTCTCATATTTGTCTACTTATTTCTGAGAGTCCATTAGTCTGTTTTTATGTCATGATATCCCCCATCAGTTTTAATGGCAAAATAGAATTCCATTATGTGAGTGGATTAAAATTTAAGAAATCCCTCGCTAGTAAAATTACCTGATATACTGTGGGGGTTTTTTCACTATTATGAACAACATTTTGATGTCCATGTACCCTTACATAATGTCTTACTGTTTATGATAAATTTCTAAATGAAGTGACTGATTCAAAAGTATACCCATATTTAAGTAGACTTGTAACAATACTATACAACATAGTTTTAATCATACATAGTATAATGGTAACAATGTATAGTATAGTTGTAACAATATACAGTACAGTTGTAACAACATACAGACCAACTGTTTGGCATATATACACAAAACACTTGCATGTGTACATCAGGAAATGCACTCAAATGTCCACAGCAGCATTATTTGCAATAGCCACATATTGGAAACCTTTCATATGGTCATCAACACTAGAATGAATAAGTAAGTAGTACTAGTCACACAATTGAACACTACTCAGCAATGATAATGAATGAACTACAACCATATCCAACAACATGAACAAATTTTACCACCATAGTGTTGCGTCAAAGAAAAGACACAAAGGAATACATGAGTTAAATTTGTACAACGTTTAAAAACAGGAAAAATTAAATAGTATTTTCAGTGGTACATACATTGGTGATAGACTATAAAGAACACTGAAAGAATAACTACCATAAAAGGTAGGGTAATGGTTATCCTTAAAGGTGAGTAAGGGGGAATGCATTCAAAGACAGCCATGAAGCTGGTAGATTATGACAATAGTCTTTATTCTCATTTTGAGTAATGGTAATATGTATGTTCACTTTATTATTATTCTCTAGAAGTCATACATATTTTAAATACTTTCCTATATATATTTTGCAATTTGTACTGAGAAAAGAAAAGCATCCAGCCCACCAAAGTCTTCCCAAGCATCTCATCAGATGCAAGGCATCTGTTCTATCCACCTTCTTCTTCACACATGGAGTCAAACTGTTCAATCTAATATAGAAGAAGAAGCAACACCAAAAATAATCAATGCATAATTCTTTGGGTAGTGCATGATGGTTTAAAGAAAGATAATAGGAGGAGACTCAAATCCCCCCTACTCCAAATTTTCTCTCCATCCCATAAATTTTTCAGATGTGTGGCACACAAGGTATTTTGAGAAAGATTGCTGCCTCTTAGTAAAAAGGTTCTTAGGGCTCATTCATTCCATTGTATGTTTCTTCAAGGGTCTAGGGAAGATCTCCAGGAGTTTAGAGATCTGCCTGCCCCAGAGGTAATTCTAGCATCTTAGACATCTTCTGTCAGGTTAAATTTACTGATAGCTTCAACCAGAAAGGATAAGCCAAAATGTTTTTCACTTCCAATATACATGAGTAAAAGCCATAGGTGCTATCTTATTTAGGATTCTGAACTGCAAGCAACAGAAGCTATCTCTGCTTCATAAAACAGAAAAGGAGTTTATGAAAACAATATTGGGGATCTTAAAGAATTGTTGGGAGGAATGGAAAGCCACACCCAAGCTAATCTTCTGGGAACAATGTCCGAAACCCTGCAGCAGAGCTGGCCTGGTGAGTAACCAGGGCCACTGCCAACTATCAATGTCACTCCAAGGACAGACACTCTGGCTGGTAACCATGGTCACACCAAAAGCTGGAGGCCTCTGCTGTCACCATATTGGAATGAATCCACTTGGCACTTCCTTCTCCAGTTGCTCACTTTCAAATTGAGGTCTCACATTTAATGTGTCTGGTAGAACTTAGGTCACATTGTACATACACTAGCTATAGGGGAAGCCGAGGATGAATGTTCGAGGTTCTAACAATGCACTAGGCCAGTAGTCGGCAAACTCATTAGTCAACAGAGCCAAATATCAATAGTACAATGATTGAAATTTCTTTTGAGAGCCAAATTTTTTTAACTTAAACTATATAGGTAGGTACATTGTTATTAACTTAATTAGGGTACTCCTAAGGTTTAGGAAGAGCCACACTCAACGGGCCAAAGAGCCGCATGTGGCTCGCGAACCGCAGTTTGCCGACCACGGCCTAGGCAACCAGATATTATTAACAATGTCTACCTCGAGGTAGGCATCCATGCTCTTTTGCTTCAAAAACTTTCTGTCCGCTCTAACTTATGGAATAACAAAAATTTTGTTCCTGCCAAATTCTAAATACATGATTGATGATATTTTTAACTCTCCAGACAAAAACATGAAATTTCACCATCTGCTTTGCTCTTTTGTCCCTTGTGGGCAATAAATTTCACAAAGTCCTCATGATTCAGAGGAGTCAGAGGTGGGGCCTTAGATCTGAGTCTCCATGCACATTTTATATCCATTTGCATACCACTAGAAGAGGTTGAGTAACCAGGAAGTCCAATTCAACCTTTTTGACAGAAGTGGTTGGCACACAAGACCCTTGCAGTGGTAAAAATGTACCTTTAGGTCATTCAAAACTCCCAGAGTCTCAAGGTGAGGCTGGTGGAGAACAATCACAGGCTGGATTGGATGCCAACTTTATGGCTAGTGGCCATACTGCTCTCTTACAAGCTGTTGCTTTTTGAAGCTATCCTGAAAGAATTTCTGGAGGGACTTAAGACTGTGAAAGTCAGGCTCCTTTTTGTTCTATTCTAATTAGCAATTTTGAGACATGTGCTTTCTACAACAGGACCTTCAGCCCCAGAGGACATAATCTCTGCATATTCAAAATATATTTTTACATAGAAACTGAAGATACCTGGTGGGAGTGAAGAGGGAAGTTGCCCTTAAAAGAGAGAAAACTGCTGGGATTGTTTCTCACTTAAAACAATTTAAAGCAATTTTCCTCATTTTTTGTATATTATTATTGTCATTATAATTATTACTTTTTTACCTTAGACACTGAAGTCCAAAGGTTATCATCAACCCAAGTTTTTTGAGAGAATATATGGTACCTTGCTGCTCATTTTTCTAAGAAAATCTCTCCTTTCCCTTTTTTAAAACATTGAGATGGACTGTCAATATTTATTGGAAGTCACGAAGAACTAAAGGGCTTTGTTTAAAACATTGGAACTCCCCTCTTAGTTCCTAAAAAAAAAAAAAACATATATTGAGCCCTTCAGGTTCCAGACAGAAATGAGAATATATGTCACCTAAAAAGATCATCCAAGAAATAGGACTTGGGAGGATATAAAAGCTCCTGCTCTGGGAACTTTTAAGAGAGGGCAGCTACCAAATGAGCCAATAAATTGATAAGGGGAACATGAAGAGTCCAAAAATATATTGTATAATAAATGGGGACTTAGTAAGTGATAAAGCCATCATTCCAATTCACTGGGAACGGACGAATCTTTTAGTTAATTCAGTTGGCCCAACTGCCTATTCATCTGGAAGAAATAAGGGTAGACTCCCCTCTTCACACAATATGGAAACAAAAATAAACATATAGATTAAAGATCTAGTATTTTTATTATAAAAATATAAGAATGAAGTATAGGAGATTATCTGCATAATTTAAGGGTGGGCGAAAAACATCTTCTGTAACACCAAAACTAGACATCACAAAAGAAGAAGTTGACAGATGTACATCAAAATAAAAAACTGTGTAGCAAGGATTCTAGAAATAAAATGTATGTTAGACTGGGGGAAATTATTTGCCACCCATATGGTTATTATCCCTAATATATTAAAAGCTATAACATATCATTAAGTAAAATATAAAAATGAGCAAAAAATAGCAATGCAGTGATTGAAAGTATGGAAAAAAATGCTCAATATCCCTCTACCTTATGAAATTAAAACAATGAGATGCAATTTTTAACGAGAAAAAAAAGCAAGTTTTGATTTTATTTGTTTGGGTTTTTTTTTTTTACTATGTTTATAGTATGATTTTTTTTTTCAAGAAAGGTAGGAAAGAAGGAAAGCCCTATGTATTTGTGTGTGTGTACAGGGGAGGGTTGTTTTGGAGGGTACACACCAAAATGTTAATTACCTCAGGGTCAGGGGAAGATACTAAACCAAAGTGAAAGAAAGAAAGAAGAAAGAAAGAAAGAAAGAAAGAAAGAAAGAAAGAAAGAAAGAAAGAAAGAAAGAAAGAAAGAAAGAGAGAAAGAAAGAAAGAAACTTAATTTTTCTCTTAATACATCTTTGAATTGTTTAACTTCTAATGAGAATTTATTTCCTTTTTAATTAAAAAAAATCCAATAATAAAGCACTTCCTTAAAAGTAAATGGGTTATTGACTATTATGATGAATTAGGACAGAGTTGAGCCAATTGATTGACTATGTTATGTCATTCATTGAGATAAAGACATTTTCATTGACAATAAGATATTTTCACATGGCCCTAACTGGTTTGGCTCAGTGGATAGAGCATCGGCCTGCGGACTGAAGGGTCCCAGGTTCGATTCCAGTCAAGGGCATGTACCTTGGTTGCGGGCACATCCCCAGTAGGAGGTGTGCAGGAGGCAGCTGATCGATGTTTCTCTCTCATCGATGTTTCTGGCTCTCTATCCCTCTCCCTTCCTCTCTGTAAAAAAAAAAAATCAATAAAATGTATTAAAAAAAAAGATATTTTCACATGATTAATTCTTGTTTATCTACATATCAGTCTACAACTAATGTTCAAGAAATATTACTTTCTTTCAAATCAAAGTTATTTAGACTCTGAGTTCTTCCATCACATGAGGCTGTTGGGACATTCTATTTCTATCATGATTGGGCCCTGTCCAAGGCCCCACCAGACATCTGGGAAATGATAAGGCTGCAAGTGCTGTAACTAAGTGTGGGAAAAGAGGGCTGGACTGGAGACAGAAGATGTGGGTGGAGGCCAGTCTTTTACCTTCCAAATGATCCTGGTAGATTGATACAACTCTCTGTGCCTTGATGACCTCATCTATAATAATAAAAGCGTAATATGCTAATTAGATCAGACAGCTTAACAACCTTCTGGACGTTATTCTGGACGTCCTTCCGGACAAAGCTGCGGCAGCGGGGGCCAAGGCAGAGGTGGTTAGGGGCAATCAGGCAGGCAGGCGAGCAGTTAGGGGCGATCAGGCAGGCAGGCAGAGGCAGTTAGGGGAGATCAGGCAGGCAGGCAGAGTGGTTAGGGGCGATCAGGCAGGCAGGTGAGAAGTTAGGGGCGATCAGGCAGGCAGGTAAGCAGTTGGGGGCAATCAGGCAGGCAGATGAACAGTTAGGGGCAATGAGGTGGGCAGGCAGAGGCAGTTAGAGGCGATCAGACAGGCAGGCAGAAGGGTTAGGGGCAATCAGGCAGGTAGGCATAGTGGTTAGGGGCAATCAGGCAGGTGAGTGGTTAGGACAATCAGGCTGGCAGGCAGAAGGGTTAGGGGCTATCAGGCAGGCAGGAGAGCACTTAGGGGCCATCAGGCAGGCAGGCAGGCAAGCGGTTAGGAACCAGAGGTCCCAGATTGCGAGAGGGATGTCTGACTGCCAGTTTAGGGGATCAGGTCTAAACCAGTAGTCGGACATCCCCTGAGGGGTCACAGATTGTGAGAGGGTGCAGGTCAGGCTGAGGGACCTCCACCCTCCTGTGCATGAATTTCGTGCACTGGGCCTCTAGTCTATAAAATAAGACTGGTATCATTTGCCCTGCATAGGTCACAGAGGTGTCATGGCATTATGGTGTTAAATCCTGTTAAAATGACCCATTCTGAAACTCCTGGTGATCTAGGACTTGGCTGAATGACTGCCAAATAGACTATGAAGATAGTCAAGTCTTTGAGAGGATAATGTGTTTACAATTAAGAGATCTTAGAGAATGGGGCAGAGATGACAAGGGTGATCTGGAATTCAGGTCTCAGAAAGTTAAATCAGCAGAAGGCTCAACAGACTTTCCTTGGTCCTAAGAACTCTCAATATCTAGGTCTAGTGCTTCTTCCAACAACACAGTTGCATGGAATAGTTTATTCTCAAAAAAATTAAAATTAAAATTATCTTTTTTTTAATTTTTTTTTTTTTTTTTGCTCATCACACAGAAATTCTTACAGAATGACTAAAGAAATCATTTAAAATTTCTTGGATAGCTCTTTAGAGAGATGATGATTATCCAAATCTTTCTCCAAAAAGTCTTTGAAAACAAGGAGGTGATTTATGAAATGTTCAATGAATGTCTGCAATATCAACAATTGTGTTATAGCCACAAATTATTACCATTTTTTCTGGGCTCAGTGAGCATTCTCTGAACTAAGGGTACCCTGTACTTACAGTATTTGAATAGTGCTTTGTCCACTCTCTAGGGTTAATGCCTGGGAAGAGTTAAATTGTGTTCAGGGAACGAGAACCCTGGTTTTATCCTAAACTGGTCAACCATTAGCTATGGACATTGAACCAGGGACTCTGCCTAGGTCTTTGTTTAACCCTCATGGTCAATAAGGCACTCCTACCACCTAGGATTTAGATCACTATTTTCTATTATAACATGATAACAGAAGGTGCCAGCTAGTGGATGTTTGCTTTTTAATTGATTGTCTGGATGTTTTGTCACTTGGTGTTTCTGGGCAGCTTGTAATTTTTACGTATCATAGTGTAGTGTAAGCTCTGACAGTTAAAAGCATGGATGGAGTGTTTGTGTGAACTAATATAAATTCAAAGTAAACATCATTACATAAAAGGGTACGGTCTTTTTTTTTTAGTTTTATTCATTTCAAACGGGCCGGATCCGGCCCGCGGGCCGTAGTTTGCCCATGGCTGAGTTGGACAGTTGGACACTTAGCATATTAGCCTTTTATATATTTAGATTCTAATTGATAAGTTGCAACTTCACTCTAAACTTCCTCCTCCATGTGAGCCACTAATGCAAGGGTCAGTAAACTATGCTCCACAGGTCACGTCCAACATGCCACTTGTTTCTGTAAATAAAGTTTTATTGGAAACAGCCACACTCATTTCTTTACATATCATCTACAGCAGCACTCATGCTATATCAGCAAATTTAAATAATTGAGACAAAGATCATAATGATCCACAAGGCCTAAAATATATACTACCTGGCCCTTTATAAAAAGAAAATGTTTGCCACCCCCTGCATAAATGTATCTCTCACCTTAGTTGGAAGGCCTTGCTCTACAGAGGCAACTATATATCTTGGGCTGACATTGAGGGCCTGACTTACTTGGCCCCAAGTGACTTCCCATTTTTCTTTTGCATAAAGCCTCTGCTCTAACCAAGGTAGCCCAATCTCTTTTCTACTTCTTGCAAATAAAAAGGTCTCCCCTTCCCCTCCCCAGCCATACAACTAGCAACAGTGGCCCTAATTAATTCACAATGATATTCCCAGATCCTTGACTCTCAAAACATGGTCCATGAACCAGCAACCCCGACATCATCTAGGCACTTGCTGGAACTGCAGAATCTCAGACCCCAACCCAGAACAACTGAATCAGAATCTATATTTTAACAAGATCCTCAGATGACTTGACACACTGATCTAGAGCAGTGCTCTCCAACAGAACTTTCTGCAATGATAGGAATGTTCTCACTGCCATGGCCAATATGGTAGCTACTCGCCACCTGTGACTATCAAGCAATGAAATTGTACAACTCAGAGTCGCAATTTTTAAATTGATTCATTTAAATTAATTATGTCTATAAAACCACATTTGGCTGATAGCTACCATATAGAAGAGCACAACTCTAGACTTTGCCCTCAGAAAAGGATTACTGGTGAGCACTTGTAGCTCATTTCTGTAAGGCGCCAAAGTCACCTGGAACATTCCAGAATTGCCCTGAGCCTGGAAGAGGATACCTTATGGAACATCTAGCAATGCCCCTATTGGGTTCTGTGGCTGGAGCAGTCAGATTGTCTCCAATAGCCCAAGATGGGCACAGACATTGACTATGAATGAAATCTCAAGAACCAAATCCTTCCAGGTGGTAGTTGAGACATGGGGAGGATCTGTGTAAGGATCTATCCCAGGAGGGCGGTAGGGAGAAGGAATACCTTCATTAAGCTGATACATCCAACTGAGGGAACCAGTCCACAGGCAATATCTTGCAAGCTCAGGCTTACCCTCTGCCTTACCCTAACTACACATGCCCATGAACCAAAAGGCCTCAACCACAGGACCTGTAGAAGCCATCTTGTGAAATCTTTGTACACAGGTTCTGTTGCCAAGGACCTTGTGCAAGGGTGTACAGTGCAGGAAGCTGGTGGCAAAGCAAGGGGTAATGTGGATTTTCTTTTCACAATCAAGTATTTCCTCCTCAAGACAGAGCAAAGACCTCTCCATCCACTCTTGCTCAGAGTCTATATTCTCACAGAGACTGGGGCCCCCACCACCACTTTCTCCCCAGTGCCTCACACCCTTATGTTCATGGTCTGGGAGCTGCTACTGAAGAAAGTGGAGGCATGCTCTGAGGTGCCTGATTCTTATCTCCCTTGGCTCAAACTGGGTTTCCCAGAAGAACTCTGCCTGTCATACATCAATTTCTTAGGGTTGCCATAGCAAAGTATCACAAACTCCTTGGCATAAAGCAACAGAAATTGATTCTCTCACAGTTCTAGAGGCTTAAAGACCAAAATCAAGAGCCATACTCCTGAAGGCTCCATAGGAGAATTGTTCCTTGCCTCTTCCAGCTACTATGGCCCCTGGCTTTCCTAAGGTTGTGGAAACATAACTCCAGTCTCTACCTCCATCTTCATATGGCCTTCTTCCCAGTGTCTCTCTGTGTCTTCCACTTTTCTATCTCTTAAAGGACATCTGTTGTCATTAGATTAAGGACCCACCCTAATCCAAGATGATCACATTTTAAGTTCCTTACCTTATTTACATCTGTAAGGATTCTATTTCCAAACAAGATTACATTCACACATACCAGAGTTAAGGCTTTGGACATTTCTTTTTGGGACACTTTTGAACCCACTATGCTTAGTGTCCAGCATCCTTTCCAGAAATTCTCAATGTCTTCCCTTCTGTGGGTTTCATCGTCCTGCCTGTCCTTCAAACACATTGAAGGGTCTCTACAAAGCTTGCTTTCTGGGGCCGGGAAAAATGATCCAGCAAAAATAACTCTCTGAACAGCAGGGTTTCACTTTAGCTGTGTACCCTGGCTGCATGGAAATCTGTGGGGTGCTGCCCCTTTTCAACTAGCCCCTCCTACCTACCTTATCCTTACTTTCATGGCACAATGGCATGTAGTAAGGACACCCACTTCCATTTCCCTGACAGCTTGGTCCCATTCCCACAGTCCTCACTCAACATGTTCCTGTACCCACTGGGAGAACGCCTGGAGAATGTCCCATATTCACTAACATATTAGATGCTCTCCCATTGTCTCCCACCCACACTCCCTCCATTGAAATGAAATCCCCAGCCCTAGTAGAGTTAGGTCAGATATGGAGATTGTGGTTGGGCCAGATTTGAACACTTGGCCTGGGGAAATAGCCACCGACTAGGTTAAGCTAATCAGACTCCTTTCAGAAAGATAAAAGCTAAGAAGCCAAGAGACTGAGCAGGTTGAACAGGGATGGGCACTGCCGCTGGCTTGAGGTCTTGTGCATTCTGAATTGCAGATCGTGTTGGGATTGCAGTCATGTTGGGCCATGTGCAAGCAAAGGAAGCCTGATTAGGAGGCGGGTGTGCAGAGAGCTGTAGACACAAGAGAACATTTGGTCTGAGCATTCAACACAGAAAGAGAGGTGCTTAATAACTCCCACTTTCCTCACTCCCTACACATTTTTCCTGAATGTGTCCATTACTTTTCTACAAACCTCCTTTTAACTCCAACAGGCCTAAGTGGGGTTCTGTTCTTTGTAACTAAAAGACAACCAAAATCATTTCTGATTTATAATCTGTTATGTTAGGAAGACCAACCTAATGGAAAGAATTATCTTATAAGAAAGAGGCATTCCATTAGTTGTAATAAAAATAAATA